GAGAGAGAGAGAGAGAGAGAGAGAGAGAGAGAGAGAGAGAGAGAGAGAGAACGTTTATGACGAGGAGCGGTTTAAGCATCCAATAATAATGTAAAAGTTCTGTTCTTCTTTGTTGAGTGCATGGGTGAGTGTGTACTATGACTTTTGTAACACCATTACCACAGTGTACGACCAAGGCAAATAATGTTAGTGCACCTCTTCGTGAATTTGGGTAATGTTTCTTTGAGAATTATCCGGTTATATTTTATCCGGATTTTGCCCCACCACTAATGAGTATCGAGTATCCACCATAGGGCCAAGGTCAAGAACAGGCCTATACCCATTTATGGGACGCCAGGCCACATTGATAGGATCTCTCGTGTAAACAGACACCGGGATCTGGCTCACCGCACCGCCAGATGGGTTATTTCCTAGTCCTTCTCCTGGGGGGTGGGGGGAAGGGGGGTTGGAGGGATACTGAGAAGGCCTAGGCTTTTCTCCTGAGGGGTGGGGGGAAGGGGGGTTGGAGGGATACTGAGAAGGCCTAGGTTACTTCCCTTGCCTGCTTTCCGCGCAAGGACCTTATACCGGGTGCCCATTGCGGATGGAGTCGGGTCGGGCCGGGTCGGGTCGGATGATCTGTCGACTCGTCGCCTGAAAACAAACACGTTTTTTTGGTGTTTTTTAATTTTTAGGCGACGAGTAGGGCGCGATCGGCTTGTGCCACGATAGCCGCTTTGCGCCCTCAATCTGGCTAGTAAACCGGCCCGACCCAACCCGATCGCCCAAAAGGCACCCGTATTAGAGACTAACTTATTTATAGTCTCCTTAATGTGTGTTATGCAAAGTGCCCAGTGCACACAGTGACTGTCAAATTCTTCGGATCTGCCCAGGCGAAGTTCCTCTGTTGCTGCTTACTGTACCTAAGTTAAAAGTAAAAACGATGTTCCCTCATCCGATCCGGACACTGCGGATTGCCTTGTTAGTGAGACAACTTCTTGGGCCTTCGGCATATCGTGGTAGGGTGGCCAGTTGCTTTCCACGCCGCCTTTACTTCTCCAACTCGATATCATGTACCCATTACTTCTGGGTGGGAAGAAGAGGGAGAAAAAAAATCCGTGTCTGAACTGAGGCACGAACCCGGACTTTCCGCTTCGGAGACGAGCGCACTAACCGCTCCGCCATCTCACCCTCTCTCATTTAAGTATTAAATAATAATTAAATACAATTTCCATTTTAAAAAACTGCCTGATTATCTTTATAGCAAATGTTTCATTGGTAACAAAATTTAGTTGCTTTTTGTGATTGTTGTTGTTTTTTGTTCTCTCCTGTAAGATTGTAAAAATTGCATGTCATTCTATAATCTACACATTAAATTTGTGAAAGGTAGTCACTTAGGCGGCCTAAAACTTCCTAACCACTTAACTTTCGAATTTGACAAAATTAACGGTGGTTCAGAATCATTTAAAGGGTTCACAGATATATTAAGGAGTCTTATGTCTCTGTAGTTAAATTTTCAGTTTTTCATTAGTTTCGTTTAGATCTAATTTTGGAAAAGTCCGTCTTCTAAGACGCCATTGTAAACAAGTGAGACTTCCGTTCACAATACATGCAGTGCACACTAAACCCACAGAGACTTGACGCACGGCGCACCGGCAGTGGAATTTTAGTTGCCGCGGGGGGTTCCCCGCCGGGCGCCTTATCACGTCGGGGTCACGGGGGTCAGCTCCCTGTCGCCGCTGCGCTTTTCCGTTTCGTCAACCCGCAGCCA